AAACTCTTCGAGAGAAACGAACAATAAACAACAGTATCACAATTCTTCATCATCATCTTCCTCCTTCTCCCCTCCATCCTCCTCAATTGATGGTGAAGACACAACCTTACCAATAGCAGCTAGAAGGGACCTCTCGTTCGAGGAAGGGAGGTCCTGGCCTGAACCAAACGTGTTGAACATCCATAACACAATTTACCAATAAGTGATCCTTACCAAGTTCCCATATCATAACACCACCCAGGCCCTCTTCAAGGGCGTATCTCGTCCTTGCTTGAACCTCTTCTGGAGTATCATAAACAAACTTATGCTGCGCATCGGGAATGGTAGAAATCTCCGAGTACGTTCGAGCCTCTCCAGTCTGTAGGTCTCTACCATAAAATGGTATCTAAGGTTACTTATTGGAAGATACAGAATATGTCCGAGTCACACAACACACTAAAAGACTCATTCCTTGTCAGGATGCTAGTGTATACAGTTCACATGTCCAACAAAGAGGATGGGGAGGTCGCCCAGAAGTGGTGTCGACTGGACTCAAGGCACTGGAGGACACCACCTGGGCTAACCTCCTCCACCTAGTGGACAAGATGGTCAACTGAAACATGCTGCCTGGCAGTTTCATAGCACAGCCCTCTCACCCCCAATGCGAGCTTCCGTATATCCAATCCTCTTTGCTCCCAAGCTTCCACAACAACTCTAGCCAGGTCCTCCCCTTTCCCTTCAGGATGTTCATAAGACATCGCCAAGAAGTAATCGCACTGTTTGGCAAACCTCAACTTGGCTATCATGTCCTCTTGTAGACCACCAGGCTGGTACCTACAACACTGTGAGATAATATCACCACCATATCAATCAATGATTGAATAATAGTCCGATATAAAACCCATACCACTCTCCTGTCACTTCGTATTCACTGTGTCATTCAAAAGACGACCACTGTCACTAAATGGCCTCTGAACTGCTTCATTCCTTAGAACCCATCCCTCTCACGCTAGAGTGATGATCGCTGGCTTCTCCCTCTTCCTCAGCTTCACCTTCAACCACCGCAACATCTGCTTGAAATTGTACCATTCAGTTTCACTCTGTGGATACTCCCAATTAAAGTCAACTCCATCAAGTTGGTATTTATTCAACAGATCATCAACCTGCTTGATGAGCCTCCGGACATCCCCATTGTGCGCCACCGCATCAGCGAAACCAGAGCTCCTTCCCGCTCCTCCAATGCTGACCAACAGTCGTCCCCCATAGGCATCGGCAGCAGCCCTAGCCTTCTCCAAAATAGCAGGGCCAGGTAGACGCTGTTTCTGTTGTATTATACCGAGATAGCTGACCTCAACGCTGAAGAATATCAAATCGGTGACACCGTGTGAAAAGATACCATCGAAATCGACATCATCCGATAGGCGGTACTCTGGAAGGTAACTGAGATACTACTGGAATAGACTGGTCCCCAATTGCGCTAGTAGTCTACCCGAACACTCTGAATCGCTCTTGCTCATCAGCAATAACCGTGAAGGCTGATAATAGCAGCAGGAGGAGGCATGCGAGTCGGGCCATGAAATGGTAACAATACGCTTCCATAAGACACCGTCACTCGCCACGAAATTACCACCAAAGACAACGACAATCTTCTACACTCACAAGAGAGGACCAAGTCGTGAATATAGCATCGTTAATTTATGGAGGCTTCGTCCATCTCCTCTGTAGAACTCTCCGGTCATCGTCTTGGCATGCCCATCAAAATCTAATACTATGAAGCCACCGTGAGGACAGCCATGGTAGAAGAACTCGGTCCAATAGGGAGAATGCCTGATCCGATACACGACAGATGTGATGGAACCACGTAGAACAATACACCCGATTTCCATAGGAGCTCAACAATAATGAAAAAGGACCGGCATTCCGTACACTACTGTGTTTCCCTCATGACTGTTTATAGTCTTCCAATTGAATGTCAATGCTACTTCACAGTGATAGATGAGCCCACGGAGATCGGGTGTTGGCCTACTTGAAGAGTCTAGGTGGACCAGTATAGCATCTTGCACCCGCTCCTGTACTCAATAGATGAAGACCTGTCTCTGAGTCATACCTAGCCATTCAGTAACAGTAAGAGTACTGCTTCTATTCATACAGATGTTGATGGACATGGTCATGGCCCGAGAGGTATGCCGTAACCCGATATTTGGTGAATATAGGCATCAGCAGTCGAGACAGTCGGTAGGTGGGACCATGCTCAGCCAAAGACCTGTTATTGACGATGACTTACTGTCAGTCTAGGAGGCCACCTACCAAATAGGGTAGTGACCAACCACTAGGATGAAGTCGGCAACACCATCATGCTTCGACAAGGCGTTCTCGATCCACTCCAATGCAGACCGCTGAGTCCTCGACAACTCCTACCGAATTTCGTGGAGGCGCAGCGAAATTTCATCACCTCACTCGATGGTCGCCATCATACTCGCTCATACATATCCCCTCCCCATCTCGGCAATTGTAGGAAGACCCTTCCTCAGCCAGACCGTCCAAAACGATGGTGTCAATCATAACAACGAGCACTTTGACAGCAGCTCCTACGCTCAGTACATGATAATGGAATAAGGCCGGGAACCTCCATCGAGAACTGTGTTTGCTGTATCTACCAATCTACATGTATTTCTCTACAGAATCTTCGTTGCGGAAATTCAGAGGTGACGGAGAAGTCATACCACCACGATCCTATTCAGCACGCATATACATGCGTCAGAACTAAGAGTAGATAATCGTTAACCCACCTATCTGAGCGGATATATTCCCAATATGGTCGTGGTTGCTGCTACGATATACCAAGGAATACCCTGTAGACTAGGAGACGAGAAAACGTCCTCAAAGGTGCTCTTGAATCTATCATCGAACTCATTGGTAGAAATACCCCCTTCATAAAAGTTGTCACCAGTACCTACTAATGACGATCCTTTGATAGTAGTGAGAGTACTACTGCCCTCACTGAGCACAGCCATGACCGATCTATCCTCGCATACTTCACTCATTGCTGTTGCTGTATTCCGCCTAAATGAGGCGACTGATACTCACAAGTCAGCGACAGAGGTACTCATCCGAGCTCCAATAGGGCGGTGTTCCCATCCCACCCCAATCACCAACAACTATCATAGACGAGATATCCACCTAACTGAGGGAGACAATGTCTACTGCTCATCCTAAGGGGTCTCTACGTTTACAGTAGACGCATCTTCATTATCAACATGAATGGAAATTCTGTCTTTAGGTGAACTCTTTATAAACCATCACGAATGGAAGCATTTGAAAGTGAGTATTTTGATGGCCCTCGAGAGGCTGTGGTATTACTTTAGTCCTTCTCCCATCGACATCGCCGTAGTTTAGAGGATCTCGAAGGTAAACGTCGGCATTCGCCTTCAACGGTAGAGTTATAGCGAGCGACCACGACAGAGCAAACGACACTATCAATAACATATTCATAAAGATCAAACTGCTGCTGGTTTTGCTAATACCACTCCTTGTTGAATTCACCACAATCAATATCAAGTACGACCCGATTGAACCTTCCTGCCATCTACACCGTGCCAACCTCACTAGTCGAGATATACTCAGTGCCAAGTCAGCCCTCTGTCACTGAACTCAAGAGCTAGATAAAAACCTGATAAAACATCGCACTGCATCTACCACGACGTGGGTCGCCTTATTACGGAGGTGAACACTCCCTCGTCTGCACCTACCTCCAACAGACGATGATCTCTGGTGGGGAATGACCATTCCTGTGTCGCCAAACACTCTGAAAAAGGCCTCGGGAGTTTCGTCGGAGTGCTCGTTTTCGAGCTACGTTGAGAAGGTGCGCGGTTTGACTGGTTGGGTTTCTTCGACTGACTGCTAGGCTGAGTTACTCATCAACCATAACACTCATTCAGAGGCGCCAAAAACAGGTCCCTCCATCATGACCGAACCCGACGAGAAACTGCTTGATGATAACACTCATTGACCATAATAAAGTGATTAAGTCTGGAAAATGGCGATTAAAAAGTGATAGTGATGTGGATTTAGTGAAAGCGTCTGTTTATTGTATGTCCGGCTCAGTCGTCTCGGTCATTCTCCTATGATTGCAACGTGGACACCTCTTCCGACGCAAAGATCATCTGTGGGACCAAGAACAGAAATCTCCTCCAATATAAACATTGAACCGAGTATAACGCATCGCAATGGCGGTCTCGGTTCCCTAAGTATCAGGTATGAGAAACGATAACCGTACACGACTCCACTGAAGTGAACTGGTCAGACCGACTCAACCCTCCTAATATCAATAAATGACGAATAAGATTCAATTCATTCGCATGCTGGTCCCGCTAACAGAGAGGCTCTGTGACAGTGTGTCGGGTGATGATACCGGGGCCGCCGCCGCCGCCGCCTCACGCTTCTCTCTTCCACGAGCTCCGATGGTACTGCTTCTTAGCTTAGTGGTATTACGGGGCTTCAGAGATGTGCACGCGACTGGCAGCCTCGTGACCTATGGCCTCGTTGGATGGCACCGATAGATTGATAATAGAGTCATACACCTGTAGTCGAGCCAATAGTCAAATCAATGTCCTTGCTCTCCTTCCCATAGTGACAATCGGGTGACTTCCCGTAATACTCGAGGAGCTTTGCGAGGCCGGGCAACGCGACCTCGCCACAGAGCCGACACGGATAGTTCCAACCTATAGGGGAGTACTCGAGGCGAAAATTCAACCCAACCCGCTACGTAAATCGGCCTTAGTAGCCTCGAACGAATGTCCGCAGGGCCACTTGCAAAGACAACATTGACGCTGATCGTCAACAGACTCTGTGAATGACAGAACGGTGTTAATGATGTGAGTACGGAGGTTGGGAGAGGGAGAGCCTATCAATCAAACCACTTTGTTAGACCATGCATAGATCACGCACTGGTGTCGACAGGGACGGGAGTGAACCTATTTGGACTCCTCAACACGACACATGGATGGCCCGTATCTCTTGTGTGAGCCTCATGACAATCTTGGCAATACTCCCCCCTTTTAGCGCATAGGAGGCAGCGATAATATCTGAAGAGCTCCTCCCAGAAAAATGGTAATCAACTTTACCCGCCACGAATAGGGGCTTTCCTACAGTTCCCACAACGTGTTCGAGGGAAGGTCGCGAGCCGTGAGCGCAATCGACTTAGTTTACCTACGGGCCTGAGGTGTTGCTAAGGTCCACCTGCGACTCACTTTGAAGGGCCGCTCGAGTGCCTGGGGGCCATCCGACCCGACAGAGTGGGCACGATACCTCTCCCGTTGCCGAATCAGTATTGTGGTCCGCCCACGCCTTCATGCACTCAACCTGAGCTCCTCTTAGACCGTTATGATGAGGAATAAGCTACATGAATATTCCCACCGCAAGAGATGTGACAGTGTGTGATCAACTCGGTGTCTGTCCCTGAACTGTGGTCAATCTCAAGGCTAGTATTGAGGAGATCTCCTCACCAAGCAGATCATGGCAAATAGGGCACAGGTCTACCGCTGTGTCAATTCGTCTGGGCTCAACAGAACCGTCCTTCACTGCTGTAGTGGCTCGAGCCGTGTCTAAGTGATGCTTACACGAGACTTTCCAAGACTTGGGGTTCCTAACTGTTCGACCTTGAGGTAGATGTAGAGGCCCCTTCTCTAATCGAGAGGATGTCGTCAAGCTCTCTATCACAGAGGGCCAACTGCCACAGCAAAGGGTCGTCGGCGCCTAGGCGTAATACCTTGTGGAGGACGAACCTGCTGAAGCCTTAAGGCTTCGCGATCGACTCTTTCCACTCACAGAATATGTAAACAATACTCTTCAATCGTTCTATCGCTTTTTCTTTTGAGTTGCTCACACGAGCAGGTGTGAGTGTTGCTTATTGTAACCCGAAATTTTGTAGTCGCAGGCGAGCGCTGGTCGAGATTTCTCACAACCTGAGTTCATCCCCACACGTGGGGAGGTGGGAGCACTCAAGTTTACGAAACATGCTGGGCCGATGGTCTGGACGACGCATAGTCGACTTGTCTGTGCTTTCTCTAGAGTATCTTGGAATCCCGAAGTCGGCGATCTACGGTATGGGACCGAGCGGGACATCCAAAAGGCTTCTAAAGTCTCTCTGACGCGTCCCGGCAACTAACTTCCAATCAGCAACACAACGCTAACATTGTTGAATTGGAGTTATAGTAGAAGAGCAGGCAACCCTTCGTGAAAAAAACTCAGCATACTCCTTCAGCTTTAGAGAAGTAATAGCTGCTTCACAGAGAGACGGCCAGCGCCACTGATGTGCTTATTCCTACAGTGCAATGATACAGCAACGTATATCCTCCAAACGACTAGGAGGTAGATGACGATACAAGACGATTGAGACCATGAAAGAGCAGATGATTATCCTCATGGTTTTGGCGACCTCCCTTCCTGTGTGATTGCTATAATGCACAAAATCGAAAACGGAAAT